TAGATTGGAAGTGAATTTGTACAAACCTCTTGATGTGAAGAAATCTCCTTATACTCTTGAACATTGCATTAACAGACTCAACAATATTTGAGGTCAATACATCATATCTGAAATATAAAAATTCAAAAATATCAAAAATTAAAAATACAAACTATTGCAGATTTTTAATAACTATTGTAGTTTCGAAAACAACTGTTTTTAATGTCCCACAACTTCTGCAGCTGTTGAAACAACTATGAAAGTTGTCCTACAACTATGAAAGTTGTCCTACAACTATAATAATTGTTCCAATGATTATAATAATTGTCCCAACAACTACAATAATTGTTCGAACAACTATACTAATTATTCCAACAACTACAACAATTGTTAGAGACCTGCAATATTTATGTTTGAACTAGTAAGAAAGTTTACCTGTTTCCTGGAAAATATGCTCTACTCCATTTGTGAAACCCAACATTCTCAAGATAATCAGCGACCTCCGCATTGATAATTCGGATTTGTTCAAAATGGTCATGGAACACATCTCTCCGATATGCTTTTGTTGCATGGTAATAATGTCCAAGAAAAGCTCCACAATGAAAATTTTTACGGGCATTTTCACCAAGATGCCTCGTGCAACATCCATGGTATGCTTCAGAGTAAAATTTTGATAGTGTTTTTTCTATGCTTGGATGCCTATCAGAAATAATGCACAACTCTGAAGTATCAGGGACTATGTCCAACAATTTCTCAAAAAAGTACTCATATGCGGCATCACATTCCTTATCTACTACACAAAATGCAACAGGAAAAACATGATTTTCTGTATCCTGTGCGACAGCAGACAACAAAACTCCATCGTAACGACCTCTTAAGAATGTTCCATCAACGGCTAAAACTTTTCTCATATGCACAAACCCCCTAATCCAAGCTCCATAAGATGCAAAAAAATATTTGAACCTTCCCTTGTCATCAAGCTTTAACGATGTCTTGCTTCCTTCATTTATAGTCATAAGCATATGACGATAACCATCTAGAACTGCATATCCGTGCTCCGGTGTCCCTCTTATCATAGCCTTTGCTATCTCACTGCTTTTCCAACATTTCCAGTAACTAATCTTGCAGCCCAAATCTGCTTGCACTATATTTTTTATGTCTTTTGTGGAGGGACCTTTTCCATTCAAGTAATTAGGTTGTATGTATTCTGCAATGACATCTGCTGAGGCATGTGGATGATGACTTGTAAGGTGTTGTGCCCCACATGAGTGAATGTTGCGATACTTTGTAATTTCAAATCTATTACAACTTTTAAGTTTTGTAGCTCGCAACCACCAATCACAATTCTGATCTACACATCTAGCACAATACACATCTTTAGAACTCTTCACAGATTTGAATCTTTGATCTTTCTTCACGGAAGCAAGCTTCAACAATTTAGTTAATTCTTGCTTGTCCTTGAAAATTTTACCCTTATAAAAATCTGTGCCGTCATCATCTGTGTAGCGGCTACCTTGTGTTGATATCG